GACACCAAAAAAAGGTCAATTTAATGAAACATTAGAATAAACCAATACTTAGATAATTTTATTTAAAATAATTGAACACATTAAGAATGTATTTTTTTAATGAATTATTTTTTTATTACCTCAAGTAGTCATCAGAACTGAATCTATAAAAATGTTACCATGTCAATTTCATACATTATTGAGTGACTATTCCAAATTTTGATTTCTTTAGTTGGAAAAATATCATTTGTCCACACAAAAGTTTTTTTCTCAGTGTGAAAATAATTGTATATTAGTGTATATTAACTAATTTACAGTCATAAAACCATCACTGTTTGAATTCATGCTATAATTATTACTGCAAATAGTTAATATTCATTGATCCAATTTTAAAGAGCGAAAAAAATATGTTATTAAATTAACAATTATGAGAATCACTACAATCAATTTTTTCATCTTGTAAAAAATTGATATTAAAATTTTTTGATGTGAAGTTAAAATAAAGTTATTGGATTTTTATGATATATAAAGTTTGTTATGATATTTAGACTTTTATGATCATTTTTCATCAACAACAAATTTCAGATCCAGTTGTAAATGACATAAAACCGTTAAAGCATTGAAAAATAAAATCTTCACCCTGGTTCTAAATCAGCGGAAATAATATTCTTTTATACCAATATTTTAATCAATTTTTGCCACATATGAAATATTTTTTTATCCATTCCACAAATGTATCAAATATCTGGATAAATAGTGTAGTGGTATAATTTTTATTTTATTCAAATTCAGACGTACCGAGAAAATTTATTTAAGAGATAGAATGGTTGAGTCTGTCGACTGGACAAGAGTATTATTTTGTAATTATTTAAAGAGCTTGAGGCACTCACTTCGTCAGCTATTCTATCGTAATAACCCCTGGCACCAGCCACATGCTAATACATAATGCCGATCAAACAACTGTTTAAGCAGCATCGAGTTAAGTGCACCCATTCTATTCCTTCGATGCTTCGACCGCGTTACCGCTACTCCCGCTTTATTGTGCCCCTAAATTCTAGGGGTTGCAGAAATCTTATTGTCCAATTCGTTATACTATTCTCAAAAAAAAATAGCCATCCTCATAAATTAATTTATACAGATAAAATTTTTATTTTCCTCAGATTATCAACGACATCCACTGGACTGATGATAAAAATTTTAATCTCACTGCTAAGAAGTTATTTAGGGGTAGATTAAGAAGTATAACGTATCAAGTATAGTGCTAACTTATGGTCAATAATTTTTCTCCATGCCCTAAACGTAAATCCCATTTTCGTGGCTCGCTGATTGAGGACAGATGCACGAGAAGCTGGGGCGAAGTGCACCACACAGTGTATATAGTGTATATATAGTGTGTGAGGGTACCTATACCCCAGTCATACAATGAACATTGCCACGACAATAGCTACGCACCGACTCGTCCTGTCTCACCCTCTTCTTTTTTCTTTCTTCACTACTTGTTGTCTCATTCTTCAACCCAATCTTCTTTTCTCTGTCTTATTTCATTTCTTCGTCATTTTAATTAATCTTCTTTAGACCTCGATGATGAATAATCATTAATTAAATGAATGTAAATTAATACCAATCTGAAATCTGTTTCAAGTATTGGGGAAAATGTTACGATTAAATGGTGGATTTAACAAACGAGATTAATTCAGGAGACGAGCTGATAATATCAAGTAGAATCGATGATGTACAGGAGTCAGCAGTGGATTATATGAAGAATTGCCAGCTGTTATATAAACATACACATTTTGTAATATTATCAATTAACTCAAAAATCTAAATTAATTAATAGAATAATTTTTTATAAATCTTTTAGCCATAAAAAGTTTTAAAAATTCATATCAAATAAAATAAAAAAAAAAGTTACATCGAAAAGCAAAAATAATTTCCTAGCAATTATTTTATGTCATAGCTTGGATAAAAAAAGCTTATTTCGATAACATGGACTCCCTTTTCATTGAAATCCAAAAGAATATTGAATTCATTGCTATTTAATTTAGATCCCAAACTTCAATAAAAATAAGCAATAAATCAGTATTCATGATACCAACTTTAGGATATTTTGAGGCCTAAATCTTGGTCAGGATCATACTCGTTAGCGGTGATGTCGTGGCATATGCGCGAACGGCAGACTCCATATGGGACAACTACACCAATATCTACCCCAACTAGTAGAAACACATATGCAATGTTTGATCGACTTCTCTCATCACCCTTCTCTTTTGTCATGTGTCTTGAACTAGTTCACCTGTATCTATTTCAATCTTGCTGCATCATCAATATAAACTAGCAACTTGCATCATCTCATTCAAACTTCCAGGATGTTCATAATACAATGAAGTACGTGACAAGTAAAGCTGTTAATTTATAAATAGCTTTTACATAGCAGTACCTCCATAACAGGTTGCTTTGTTAAAGTGTGGAGTTTTTGATACGCTTGGCGCTCTCACTGGATCAGCACAGATGGTCCGCTAATCTCATTGAAAACTCATGAGGACCTGGCTTCGATCACTGGGGACCAACGACCATATGTCCGACGTAGCCGCATGCCTTGTGTGTATACTATGAGTTTTTCACCCCATGCCTGTCTTTACAGATGATTCCATAGGGTTCTTTTGACCCAAATGAAAAGGAATAAGTTAAAAGAGAACTGAATAATAGCAGGTTAATTATTATTGTGTATCATGGCATGGGGTACTATCGACTGGATCACAAAGCAGGTGCACTTGTTTATTACGTAAGTCCAAGAAATAAATAGATACTTGGTTGATTACTGATGGTGTTGGCTTCTGTGATGGCTGGAGGGGCAGTGGGACATCGTCTTAATCGAGCCAACGTCTAGATATCTCCAGGGAACGCCGCAAAGAGAGAATCAAAGTCACATCTGCAACGGAAGACGTTCCAACTGAGAGAAAAGTATTCCCGATCGATTTACTTCAAGATTGATGACGACGCGAATCGAGTAGTCGTGATACGATTTCCAACGTCGCGACGTAAAAGAATCGTGTTAAGGGCATGAGAAATATTTTACTCTGTAGTCTCAGTATTAAAAAAATGATGCTCCAACATGTCTGTATTTTGATGGATCAATAGGAATGACTTTTTTTTTATTGATATAAAGAAATAGAAAATTATTTTTAAACAGAAAATATAATGGATCATTTCGAAGAATAATAAAAAAAGTTAACAGAATTTATTGATCACTTTGAACTGTTAAATTGCGGAATCATTTCAATAATGTTGTTGTTGAAATCGGATTAAAGAAAATAGTTTTTTTCCGGAATGGACTTGATATAAGTAAAGTTGTCTCGAGAGTTAATGCTCGCGGTCATGGTCGGTAAGACAAGAACACCAACGACATACACATAAAAGTGGTAGGGTGTTGCTCACCGGAGGAGAAAGATTCGCATTGCGAGCAGCCGGCATTTCGCGACGAGCGAGCTAAGTGCAGGATTATGCAAAGCACCGGCCATACAGTATAAAAATACGGAGCGACTCTACGCCATCTTTTCCGGGACATTCTAATAACTTGCAGACTCTCTCCAACCGAGGACTGAGGTTTTGGATTCTGTGTGTGAGTATACATATTTGTATTTTATACATAAAATCACTATCATCATTTCTCATATATGCCAAGTACTAAGTATTCAACTATTAATCGTTTCCATGTTCTTACGATATAACCACCAGTATGTGTGTACGTTTATATTACATTGTAATCACGCGCACGTGCCATTGCGCGTTCTCCCGTCTCGGATGCACGATTAGCTGTTACAAACCAGCTATTATGGTTCACGCAACGCATAATAATATATATCTACCACTCACAGAACAAAGATAAGATTTACCGCAACGTTCTTAATTCAACTTCCATCGTGAATATACATATTATTTAGGGTGAAGTATTCTACTTGATGAGAATTAGTAATTTCAGAAATATAATTGAAAGTCAAAAAAAATCTTAAACGAGTTATTTCTATTCAATCTGACATTTTTTTAATAAAAAATTAATTAAACAGTGATTAATGAAAGGTTTTTAAATTACAAAATGTGTTATTAATACAACTAAATAAATATATAAAGAGAAAAAAAAAATGGATAGTTATATTTTACGCGTTCAAGTCATTAAAAGTTTTTCTCTCGTTTTTCGAGACATTGATGTGTTTTCTATTCCCCAAAGAGATCGCTTTAGTCTCAGTGCTATCAAGAGAAAAAAGGAGAGAAGAAAAGTGGTCAGTGTGTTGTCTCTCTTGTGTGTGTACGCCACGAGTCAAAGTGATTGATTGGCATTAGAGTGAGATAGAAAGAGGGAAGAAGAAGGAGAGTGAATAAAGATCATCATCAGTGAAAGCTGCATTTAGTTATGCTATTAAACAGTCGATGATGACTGTAAATGTCAGTAGATTATATATAGAGAATAGCAAATACGATCGGGTTAATACGTGGTATGAAAAAAATTGGCTGGCTGGTTCAGGGTGGCTGGGAGCAACGATGAAAATATTCTCGATCGTTCGTCAGGATGAAATATGGGATCCGGCGAATGGGTACAAAACGAGAGTAAGAGAGAATTAGAAGGAGGGTTGAGAAGAATGAAGAACAAGTGAGATAGACTGAGAAATTGCCCAGTAGTTGTGTGTTTCATCGCCTAGCCGGAAGGCAGAATACGAGCGTTTCGTTGCGCAGTATAGAAAGCGCAATGAATTCCGCGAGCTGGTGGTTGCACATGTGTCGAACCTGAAATATGTAGGCGTGGTCTGCTGGAGCTAACAGACGCATCCCGACTGCTGAATATGTTCACCCCCCAACAATGCTCCACCCTCCAGTGGCTTCACTGAAGCTACTATTGGTCTAAGCCACCCTCGACCGCCTCCACCTGACGCTTCTCCAAAACCACTATCCGATGCCAAAGAGAAAGGGCCAAAGTCCCGGCTAAATACCAGCTGCGCCAGCGCGCTCCAGCATTCGAACGTGGTCCGCCCGCGACCAAACGTCGCGGAGATTTTGCGGAAGACCTTTAACTGTTACTACACGTTTTCGATCTGTCATCTTCCATCTGTTGACCCTCATCTGTTGATAACAAACAGGTAAATTCATTTTCTAATATTCATTTTATTTTTTTTTTTTCTTTTATTATATTTCTGGAATCATCAGAATAATTTATTTAATCATTTGAAATTGTTTGTGTCACAGGCCACGCATGTAACTTGTTATCACAAGTGTAGGCCTCACCATGACAATGGAAGATCGTTCGGGACCAAGCATCGATCGCGCAGACGGTGCAGCATCTGCTCACTCATGTACAACTCAAGTAAAAACTGCGACTGCTGATGGGATTCCTTCTGATGCATCTTATCCACTTCATCGGAATGGATCAAGTGCCAATAAACGTTCATTTGATGTTGCTTTTCTGGTTGCTCCAGATGAGAAACTTGCTAAACGTCAAAGTACTACATTGATTGATCAAGGAATTGAAAATCGTCAAAGTCCGGGATATAATATACCTGTATCACTTGCTGATCTTCGTCATCCAGTGATATCAATTAGTGATCGAACCAGTCCAAGTTCTCTATCAGCAAGTCCACCTGCACCAGCATTTCAAGGACTCCATCATCCATCACATCTTTCAGAACATCCCAGGCATCATATTAATCATCATCATGAAGATACACCACTTGGTCAGATTCCTAAAAGTGCTTTTACCAAAGTCAGCAGTATTAGTTTCGATGAGAATCAAGGAAGTACTCCAAGATCTTCAATATCACCTGATCGTCCAAATTATCGAAACAGTGTTAGTCCACCCAATGGACCACCAATTAAAACAGCATTAAGATATGGAACTTTTGCTGCTGCAGCGGCCGCCGCAGCTGCTGCTGTTTCAACTCCTTTTCCATTCCTCGTAAATTCTGGAAGTCCTGGAGAACCTGCAGTTCAACCAAGTATAACTACAACTGCACCTGGATTAGCAGAAAATTTAAAAATTGGACGCAAAATAAATAATGCTGCTGAATCAACAGGATTTAGAGCATCAAATGATCTTTCTCCAGCTGCTGCTGCTGCAGTGTATTCAAATCTTTCTTACTCACCGATTTCTGTGTTCCCCGCGCCAATGACTGAAGCCCTCGTGCGACCAAGACACTTTCTCGGTGTCACTGGAGTAACTGGTGTTGCTGGACTGCTACCACCATCATTCGCGTTGAGTCTACCGGCTCAGAATATTTGTGCAAAGTGCAATCTGTCATTTAGAATGACATCAGACTTGGTTTATCACATGAGATCACATCATAAAAATGAAAATTCAAGTGAAGCTGCTAGACGACGGCGAGAAGAAAAACTTAGATGTCCAGTTTGTGATGAAAGCTTTCGAGAAAGACATCATTTAACTAGGCATATGACTGCTCATCAAGACAAAGAGAGCGATGTTGTTGTTGATCAACAACAACAGCAACAAATTCCATTACCAACAATGAAGAGAACCTCCGGTGGACCGACGGTTGTTCATGGAACTGCCAAGTGACGACGTAGAGTCTCATCTTCGTTTTACATGAAACCCTAGATGACTGATCCTGAAAATAAATTTTAAAAATTTAATATCGATGGAAAATTGTATAATTCAAGTCGTATATATTATACGTTTAGTGCATAATAATTAATAGTTTTATGATGAACTGTTCCAAAGGAGCCAAACTCTCTCTCTAGTCAATATTAGATTAATAAGACTCAATAACAAATAAATACATCAAGACATAAAATAATGTAACACTTAAGATAATAATTAACTAAGTAATGGATAAGAATAATGTAATAGTCTATAATTATGAAAACAGCGAGAATCAATATATACAAAAGTCGTGTAAATTTTGAGCACCAAGTTTCCGGTGCACGCGCGCGGGACAAACTAAACAACGTAGTCGATAAATCGCTGATCGTAAAGCGTAACCGCGTCACACGTAAACCAGCCGAGCACGCATAATAGTAGGAAACAATGAATGCCATAATCGGAAACAGTGCCGGTTTGTTATCTGCCATTCGCACCCCATTTAACTTGAAACGTTGAATCGGTCGGCGCGCGCTACATTCTCGCTCTCGCGTTTTAAATACGTAGCGAAACCTCGACGACCCTGTTTGCTTGCCTGCACCCTCGCTCGTTGATCCTTTTCTCTCTCTCTTCCACTTCCAACCCTGCTGGCTATTCTCTCGACACACTCGACGTTGAGTTAATCGTGGTGGCCTATTACCTACCTAATTTATCACTTTATGTCTGTCTCTTTTCCGATCGCTGATCGCTTTGTCATCACCTCGACCAAATTATCAACATACAATCTATAATTATTGTAGCGTATGTATATTATTAAATTTTTCGTTAAATTGTTTTATATTTTATTTTATTTTTTTTTTAATGTACTATATTATGCTTAGCCACTTATTATTAATGTTAGTTATTTAAGTATTATTGTTTAGGAAAATTATTCATGAATTCCATGTAAATATTAACATTGTAAATAACCCACACTCTGTATATGTATGTAGAAATCCCATTGTTATTTAATTCAAATAAATTCAAATCTTAAAAAAAATGTTCAATGTCAATTTTTTACCTTTCATTTTTTTATTTGAAATTCTTGATGATTGTCAAAGTATTCTCTGTAAATAGCAATAAAATTTTTGTATTTTTAAATATAAACTAAAATAAACAGACTCAATTAAATATACATAGATAAATTTAAATATTTATTTTAAAGAATTTAATTAAAAAGTAAAGATAAAATAGTTATAAATTTGAACACCTTTGTTGTGCTCTAAATGATGAACATTTTTTATTGAATGTAAAATAAAATATGGCTCTAATCACAATTAAAAAGGAAGCCTGAAAAAAGATGGAGTCTAAAATCCTCCATTATTAATTAATTGTTGTACGTAACATAAATTGGATGACAAAAAAATCTTTAAAAAAAAGAAAAAATGATCTTCAACCTCAGATGGAGAGCTTGCCAAGAGAAGAAAACTACGGAAAACTCTTATACACTGTGACGACAGGTCTCTCACGAACCGTTAAATCACAAGAAATCCGATTACGTCCAAAGCAGATATTAATTTCTGACCACTCTCCATCTTCTTGGTGCCGTTTGTGGATTCTTGTCGACCTCTATAATAACAATGATATTAATAATAATAGTAGAGGAAAAAAATCTCAATCAACAATTGAAACATGGCGAGCAAAATGTGGTGAGAAAAGAGAGGAATGATAATCAATAAATTGTCACTGGAAGAGAGAATGATGATATCTCTGAATGAGGGACAAATATGAGGGTAAGAAAAGTGGTGTTAAAAAAATCCGCAAACGGATTTCACTAAACGGATATCTAATCTGGGAAGGAAAAGACCGCAACAAATGCTATAAGGATCCACCAATGTAGTACCTTTCAGTATGGAGTATATGGTCCACTTGAGCTATACTGTGGGGTAGTAAGCTTGAGCTTGGCCTCGGAGTAAGTATACTTACCCTCTGGCCGTGCTCCATAAAGATAAATAAGATCGAGTCGACCCCTCCAGTCTTTGCTACACACCCTGGCAACTGCTACTCGATGATGGCAAGTATGCTATAATAGCAGTTATATACATACATATATGTACAAACTAGCAGCAATGAGAAGAGAGCGAATTGACGACACTTTTTCCCACATCATCGTCTCTGTTGCCGACACGAACCGTATACTGGAGCGAATTGTCTCGAATCGCGCATGCTTCTTCTCTTGCCGAAATAATGACGATGTCACAGGGCCCGGCCTGGGATTTGCCACGGTCGCCTCTCAAGCCACGTGCTGAAGAGGATTGGATGCGGACATGCTAATATGGCGCCCGTTCCGAAACATTAACTTTCATACTGCACACCGTAAACTCTACAATTTGACTTTTACAAGCCAAAAACACTATTGTACATTCATGCATCTTCATGCTCCTACTCTCTATTTATATCAATCTCATCTATTTTAGGATATTTCAAATCTTCCCTTTGATATCATTTTTCATTTTAATTGCTACACTCTGTTTTAAGGTCGCTGCTCTACTGGATGGTAATACTTGATGGATCTTTACTATTAAGAATATGCTTTTTGATTTATCACTTCAGTCATTTTAATTATCATTTTGTTGATCTTTTGTTTTTTTTTTTTGTTACTTTAATTGATATTTAAAATAATAGTCAACATTATTTCAATCTCATGAGAATTGTCTTGTAATTTTTGAATATCAAAGTAACTGTGATTTAAAAAGGCGTGAAAAATTATTCAGTCACCCCTTGTAACAGAAAACTACCCCGATAGTTTTAAATGTTATTCTACTGTAAAGATATATCTTTTTTAATTTTTTTTGTTTCATGTAACATTTTTTTAAGAATAAATAAAAGAAAAAAAAAGGTTATACAAATTTATAAGATATTTTAATCCAGACAATAATTTATTGATTAAATATTCATTAAATAATGATATCAGTTAATAATTTTGTTAAAAATGATGAATCATGAAAAAAATAACTACATTTAATAAATTTAGTGTAAATAATTACAACTAGTAAACAAAATAAAAGAAATTTTATTTTTTAAAAAAGTTTAACTAATTATCACGAGATATATGCGAACGGTAACTTAATTACAAAAAGCATGTAATAATTTATGCTCATTTAGAGGTAATAATAAACTCTCGTAAAGGTGTGTAGCGACGTGCTGGTGAAGTGATTAAAAACGGAAGTGGTTGTCGCTTGCATTGGGGAGTGGACGGAAGAGCACACCTCTGCGGCAAGCACCTTGATTTACTGGACGATATTTCCTCGCTCTGTACGCGCCTGACAATGGGCTTGACGTTTCATTTCGTAGTAATATTTTGCGTGGTTATATTCCCTCACTCAGCATCATATCCCCAGTGCATTTGTTATGCCTTGAATTATTTTCATTTTCTTTTTGAATTCACGATTTTTACCAAAGACCAAAAGATTAATGAACAAATCGTAGGAGAGAGTAGTGCACGTCGTCGTGGTTGTCGTGTGAGAACTGAATATAGAGAATAACGGTCGTTGTATGACAAAAAGAGAAATACGGGCGTGAAACATCACAGGAGAGAGAAAGATAAATGAGACTGAAAAAAGCATAGAGTGAGTTTGAGCCTGCTCAAATATGTCCAACCGCGAAGGCAATAAAATACCTTTATCTTGCTCGTGCCATTACCCCTTGATTCGCCGTGAGAGGGGTGGGGGTGATGCGGTAAGAGTCATTCCAATTTACATTCCTATCGCGGGGGCTTTCGTAAAGATAAGTCCATTTAAATAAATTAGTAATGCTATCTCCGTACGCGCCTGCCATAGAAGAAGAGGGGGATTAAATGATATTTTATCAATTTTCACTGTGATTCGTTCACTTCGCCGATAAACATTGCACTTTGATTCACCTCTCAAAAATACCTCTACCTATTCCACCTCATATTTGTCTTATTTACGTTCTGAATAATGTCATTTGAGCTATAAATTTTTCACCAGAACAACAGACAATACCAACTTTAGACATTTTTATCACTGTGAATCGTAGTGTTTTATTTCGATACACTGGATGTGTTTTAAAATGACGTTACCCATTTGTTTAAAATTTTATTTACTTTGAATGCACTTAAAAGTGTTTAAGAAATAATTGTAATGTTAATTAAATAGGTGACACCATAATAAAACACATCAAGTGCATTGAAATAAAACATCTTTAAATTCAAGATTTTCAGTGTCATGTTCCTTTGTGATAAATATTGAAGAGTTTGCCATTTTTTTTGCAAAATTCATGCATATTATAACGTCCCCTGGTTTAGAATCTAAAATCTGAATCGATGTATACAGATAACCAATCTAAAATTTTTAAAAATCCCACAAAAAGTGAATAAAAGACTTGGGAGAAAAAACAATCTATTTTCCCCTTCTGAATCAGCTCGTATAAACTAGAGTGAGAGAATGGGACACGATATAATGGGGCATAACAACAGCGTTAACACGTTCCTCCTCTTCCCTCTTTAACCTCTAGACTGCTAAATAACTGCGCGGACACGAATTATACCTGCGTTCACTAATGGTCAGGTCTCTAGCATAATTAGCAGCTCAATAAGCCAGAATATCTCTATTACATGTATGTAAGAGAGATTAATAATTCATACCTGAGGCTTCAATTATTTTGTTTATTATATCATTCATTAATTATACTACATCAATAAATCCAACTAGTAAACATTAATTTCTTTCAAATAATAAAATAAAATATATAATTAGATTTATTTTTATAATCAATATAAAAAATTTTAAAAATCATTTTTTATGATTGCATATTATTTTATGTTTAAATGTAAATATTTGAATTATTTTGAGTTGTTTTCTTTCCTTTCACGACTACTTATTGAAAAGAAAAAGAATGAATAAGATTTATTTTAAATCCTTGATCAATAAAAATAGTTAATTAGTTCAATAGAGAATAATTATTTATCATGCTAAAAA